GGCCCGTAGGTGATACCCGAGAGCGCGGGAATGCTGAATTTGAATGGGCAAGGTCGAGCGTGTGCAGTGGATCATTATCCTAAAATTTCAGCGTCCTAGACTCCGTGGCTCCCGAGACATTAATTTACCCGAAAAACACTTTCACGGGGCTGTATGTGTTACCCGCGGGTACGGAAGGGCTGAATTTCAATAGGCAAGGTTGAGCGTGGGCTGATGATCATTACCGTAAAATTTCAGCTTCCTGGACCCCGTGGTTCCTGAGATATTAATTTGCCCGCAAAAAAACTTTCACGGGGCCATACGTGTTACTCGCGGGTACGGGAAAGCCGAATTTAAATTTGCGGGTCACACGTAGGCAGGGAACGTTCCCCTAAATTTTCAGCTTCCTAGCTTTTGTGGTTTCCGAGTTGAAAGTTAAGGATAAGTTGCTGCGGACACACACACACACAGACAACCCCGTGACAATATGCGTCTTGTACTGCTGTTACACAGCACAAAACGCATAACAAGTGAACGGCCCAAAGAATGAAAATGAAGGGTGAGATAAGTTTGCTAAAGTAATTTGTGACCGGGGGTAGGGCCGAGCCGTAATCTTTAAAACAATTGGACGGTCCGAAGCAAACAAAATGTGCGACGGCCCCAGTCCGGAAATTTTAACCTAGGTTTGGGTTAGTTTAATAAATTGTGATGGAAAAAATAGTAGGGCAATTTATGTGGCACAAAACCGTATGACATGTTGAAAGGTCATGTGGGAAGGAATATGTGGGAAAAAGTCTGCCTGTGTTTCATCCCTTAGCTATAAACATAGACAATACAAAGTGCGGTTCGAGGCGAGAATCATCAGTACAGCCCTCTAACCACTATATAAATACGTCAGGTAGCAAAGTGTTTGAAAAGAAAAGACAACAGAGATAATAGGAGGAGAGAAGAAAAATGAAAAGGCAAACATGAAATACGAAATTTTCATTTTTGCTTCGTTTGAAAACTGGCTCACCTTGAGTTGTTGCCGTACTGGAATTGTTTGAAAATGATATCAGTAAAATAATGTAGCACAGCAAGAGCAGCGAAAATCGTTACAGTGGTGTCTAAAAAAATATGCTTTTTTGCCTTGCAAATTATTGTTCGGAGCTCAAATTTTGCCTTATTCTTAAAATATATTATCACGATATTATCACGATTTTTAAAATATATTATCACGATTTTTACTGAATGACTTCTAGGCTCGGTATGTTGATATGGATGGTTCGAGTCATCCGCCGACCAAAAAATCAAAAGGTTACAGTACAGTGGGCAAAACGGCAGCGATGATCCTGAACGAGCTGTATCCGGATTTTAAGACGAATGTTAATTACAGAACGGTGAATATTTGTCAGCCCAACGGACAAACAGATATTTTGCCCTTCGTGTAGTAGTTCTCGCATACAGACCACCCTGAAAAAATATGCAAATTTCTTTGGCGCGAAACGATTTCGCGAACCAGGCAAGATAGAAAGCTGAAA